AGCTACGCAGTGCGTCGTTAAGACGTAACCACCGCCGTTTCGCTAATCCGCGGTCAACGAAATCCTGTCGAGAACGAGGTTAGGCTTAACCAGTCGTAATCGTTACAATACCGTTCACTTCAATGGAGAGGCGCTCGGACTATACGCGTGGACACGCGCGGTGGTCGTCACGCAGGTCGCTTGTCAGATACTGCTACGATACGTTCAGAAATCGGGAGCTGCTTTCAGCCCGCTCATTGCAGCTGGGAGTGCGGTACGGCGTCAATACAATCCCAGCGCGACCCTCTTGTCGGAAGAGTGTTGGCGTAAGGCGAGCCTTGGCTTCTTCAAGCTGTTCGGGCGGCAGATCATGGAGTGTTGTAGCCTCTGCGGACCACATCCAGAGGTGCGTTTTGCATCACTCAAGTCCCTTGTCCACAATCCATGAAGACACTTGATTCTTCCAACCACCATTGAAATTCTTGGGCATCTTTGATGACGTCATCACATCCCGAGTCAATCCTGCCGCCGTGTTCAAAGTGTCCAAGCTCTGGCACCAACTTTTTGCGGTCGCTTATTGCTGACGTCCTTAGAGCGTGGGCACCTAAGATTTATGAAGTTCACCCTTTGAAAAGCACTGGATCATCTTTCTTGTGAAGGTGCTTCTATGCGACGGCATTGCGGGGCTTGCTTGCGCTGACAGCACGCGTCAGAAGGGCGGGCTTGCCGGAACCAATGCCGCCTTGCTTCGGCCCTTCACAGCGCCAAGTCAAGGCTCCGATGAAGTCAACGTACGGAAAGTCATGGAGGCTAGAAGCAACTACCTGGCGGCGTCTCTTTCGGGAGGGGGGCTGAAAAAGCGTCTCATGCGTCAACCCGAGCTTCGGACGCTTCTAGCGCGGTTCAGCGGACACCATGCTGCTGACCCAGAGCTAGGGAAGACGCTGAGTACACGAGAATACAAGGAGCTTCTGGTACGTTTCGACTCCGGCCCGTCTTTTGCTTGCGGTAGGCCGGATATTTGAGAGAGGCCAGTCAAAAGGCGCCCATAATGATTTCTTAGAAGAAAGGAGGACTCTTTTGACTCCGGCCCACTCTCAGCTGCGGCAGGCCGGATTTAGAGAGAGGCCAGTCAAAAGGCGCCCCTCATTTTATAGAGAGAAGGAGGGCCGTTCTGACTGTGGTGGCCGGGTGTTTGCCAAGAGGCAATACTTCTACCTAAGGATTTGCCGGAAGGGCTACATGCCAGCGCTCTGCTATGACTTTGATCTAGTTGCAAGCATGGTCTTTTCCTCCGGCAACCTTGTTCGGATTGTCAGCGCGTTGCAACACATCCCTCTGGTAAACGGGTTGAGTCAAAAGTTGCCCGTCATATTCTAGAGGAATGGAGGCGACTTTTGACTGTAGTATTTCAGCCTTTTGTTAGATCCGAAAGAAAGATTTGCAGTGCACATGCACGCTCGCGTCGAGCAGCTGACCTGATCTGGCGTCTTTGTGCAGATTGCGCTCGCTAGGGACGATGTGTGCAAGTCGTCACGGGCTTTGTCCAGGATCCAGCCGATGCTGATGCAGACCTAGTGTTCTTGCACTGGCGCCGGCAGATCCCGGCTCATCAGGTTGGCCAGGTTCGGTCGAAGAACAAAGCCGTGCTCGAGCTGCTCGACGGCATCGAGAGAGAAGCGATGCAAGACGAGCCCCAATGGCCTCCCCGCTGCCCCCGCAGATGGGCGGAACTGCTCTACACTCTAGGTGCCCCATATTTGCTCTCGGATGACTCCAATCTCATCCAACACGGGAAAGCCTTGGGGGTGGTCCGTAAGCTGCTCCTCGGAGGAGCCGCAAACGATGAGGACAGGGTCGTGCTTTCCGAGCATTCCCCAATCCTACGCCGGCTATTGGACCATTACGGTAAATGCTACCCCCGATTTCTCCATCCGGCACTACACCATCTTTATCGGTTGACGCTGTTTGCGCGGGGA